AAGCCCTCCACGGCCGTGGCCAGCTGGGCTGTGGGACAGGAGCTGCTCAGGGGGTGCCAGCAGCACCACCAGCACCCCTCAGAGCCTCCCCTGCTCTGCCCACCCTGTCTGAGGGTTGGGATCAGCTGCTCACCCAGCTCCCCGTCTGTCAAGGGCAGGTAATGGTCCACCAGCTCCTCCGACTTGCCCAGCATGGAGTCCACCCTGCTGGCCACCATCTGGCCCACGGTGCTGACACCGCTGCTGACCGCTGACCTGGTCATCTCCATGCCACCCTGCACTGCTCCTTTGGTCATGTCCATCACACCGGTCACTCGGCTGGTCACTGCGTCCTTGGCCCCGGTCACGGTGCTGGACACTGCATCCCTGGCTCCGGCCACTGTACTGGACACTGCATCCCTGGCCCCAGACACCGTGCTGGACACTGCATCTTTAGCCCCAGCCACAGTGCCCGACACTGCATCTTTGGCTCCTGCCATCCTGCTGGACACTGCATCCCTGGCTCCGGCCATGGTGTTGGACACTGCATCCCTGGCCCCGGCCACGGTGCTGGTCAGCACATCCCTGGCCCCCGTCACCGTGGAGGTCACCAGCAGTTTGGTGTCTGAGATGATCTGGGCAGACACACAAAGCTCTGTTAAGCACTGGGGGGGGCCCCAGGTGTGCTGCCCACCCCAGCCCAGCCCACCCTGGTACCTTCTGGGGGGGCTGCTGCAGGATGGGCAGCTTCTCCTCCAGCTTGTCCAGCCCTTTGCAGGCGAATTCATTGGCAGAAGAAACTGGAGATGGGAAAAGAGGTGGGTTTAGCACCCTGCTGCCCCGCAGGAGCTCTGCCAGGCCCAATTTTCCACCACCCCAAAACTCAGGGCGTGCTGCCCCCACATCTTTTCTTCCAGCTTCTCCACCCGTTTACCCCTCAGCCACACAAACCAGAGACACAAAACCAGGTCCTGCCTCTCCTGGTTCCTCACGAGAGCTCAGTGAGAGCCACTTTTGGGGTGCCCCATCCCCGTGGGGTGCTGTTCTCCCCCTTGCACTCACTCTGGGGCTCCAGCCGGGTGAGGAGGGGCTGGGCCCCGCTCACCGCTGCCGCCGTCAGCGTCTTCACGCCCTTCTCAGCCACATCGCAGACGGAGCGCACGTAGGGGTGGCTCTCCTTGGTGCAGGTGTAGGCGGAGGACACCATGTCGTAAGCTGAGCTCACCAGGGGCAGGTTGGCCACGCGCGTCCCGATGTTCTGGGGGGCAGAAGGGCTCAGCGTGAGCGTGGGGCTGAGGAACCCCCCAAATCTCACAGGGCGTGGTGTGTGTTCCCAACACCCCGAGGATGGTTTTGGGGCACTCCCGTGGCTCTCCAAGCCCATCGGAGGGTGGGAGANCCAGGGTCAGGCACTCAGGAGCTGCTCCAAGCCCCTTTCCCCACCATCACAATCCTCTCTCCATCCAGAGGCAGCTGCTGGGGCCGGATCCCTCTGCCCCAAGGGGAGCAGCAGGGCTGGGCACCAACTCCTTGGGGTAAAATAAGGGTAAAAAGGGTGTGTGCCAGGGAGGGACTGAGCCTGGCACCAGCTCAGTGGTTCTGCTGTGTTGCAAGGCTCCGGAGCTTTTGTCCGAGTCCAATAAAGAGCTCCCGGCCCCGCCTGCTCTTTGTGCCCGAGCCCCGGGGGAGGATGCCCCGGTCCCCTCCCCTGCAGGCTGCAGTAACTCTGCCCTGGGGACACTCGGCTTTGGCTTTTTCCAGGACTGATTTCACACTCGCTCCGTAAACAGGACCTAAATAAAGCCCAAACCAGCCCCAGTGCCTCTTGCCCAACTGCTGGAAGTGGGAGGGCCCCTCCAGGACCCCGCTCCTGATCCCACTGCCAGCTCCTCCCGTCCCAGGGGTAGGGACAGGCTGGGGAGTGGGGGCTCAGGACATGGGGGGCCCCAGCTCTTGGGGAGGGGGTTCTTCCTCCAGAGCCCAATTCCTCCCTCCCACACCCCCAAAGAAACCTCAGTCCAGTGCAAAACTAACCAGAGTTTATTGCTTCTTGTGCTGTTGTGACCCTACAAGGGTGAGAGTCTGAAGGCACCGAGGACACGGGGGACCTCCAAGAGGCACTTGGGGCAACCAAGGCACACAACTGCAGGTCCCCAGCAAGGGGACAAGTGACAGAGCTGGGGCAGGCAGGAGGGTCCCCACAGAAACAGGCACAAGGTGAGGGGTGCATAGCAAAGACTCCTAACGAGGGTTTTTGGGGAGGGAAGCAGCCCAGAATCGCTACTCTGCCTCCGGCTCCACCGGGCGCTTGCCCGAGGGGGCGAAGGGTCCCACCAGCCACGTCAGGGGGGTGTTGAAGGCCACTTGTTCCACCAGCTCGTCCAT